AAAATAGTCAGCTCTAGACATTAAAGCTTTCGTAGCGGCTTCAGCAAATAATACACGTTCCAATAAAGTACCACAAATCCTCTTGTTATATTCGACAGTTTCACAAAGGTTAAGAATTTCTTTAACAGCATCGGTAATGTTGTTTACGAGAGGTACGAATAATGCTATAACATCAGCAACATTAGTTGCTCCTCGTATAAATGTTGAAGTAATAGAAAAAGTGTTTGAAGTTGTTTCGATTCCAAGAGAGATAATTTCCATATTTTAGAAATATTTCGGTATAAGGTTTCTGAATTTTACATTCTTAAATAAACATACAATTGTATAAATTACACGTCCAATTTTCCAGAAATTTATCGGTGTTTTACCGATGTCAAAATAATTGTATTTTGCGATATTTAAGTTATTCCATACAATTTGCCAAAATTGGCAATCAATGTAAGATTGTATAACATTATACGTATGTCGCAAATCATAATGAAATTGGATTGCGAAAAATCAAAGTTAAGGTTTCATTTCGACCCTCTTATAACCACTTTTATTTGTCTACTATAAAATCTACCCCTATGTGATGCCTGTTGAGTGGCCTGTAGGGGAAATAACTTTCTGGAAGTTGAGTGACAAAGGATTTTACATTATAAAAACTTGAATCGTACTCTGATTCGTTTGAAATACAACTTATTTATGTAACCAACCAGCTTGATTATTTCTAAATAAATCAGGAAGTCATGAGGTGTAGAAACTCATAGAAAGCATGCGAAATTTTATTTATGTTCATTGATTTTTTTCCTAATTTGTTATCTTGATACTATGTATGAATAATTCCAAAAACTATATTGTTTGGATGAAAAAATTATTGTATACATAAAAGATCATCAAACAAAGAGATCGAATAAAGATATAACAAATCACACAAATCAGAAATATTCAACAATTATGTATACAAATGAATATTTGAAAGTGTTTCAAAAATATGTAACACATTTTAAAAACACGTAAAAGCTTTTAAAAAATCGGAATGAGAACTCCGAAGGTGCCATATTTGTTATCACGAGTAAATTTTTGATTTATTTATGCAACAGTTGTCATATGTAGGGATATAGGGATGTAGGGATGGAAAATGGTTTTTATTGCATAATCAAAAACAGGTGACGATTATGTTCCTAATATATTTAAAATAAGATGATTTCTATTTGTGCACAGGTTAACGTCAAATTATTGCTTTCTTTAAAAGTCGATTACAACTCAAAATTTCGCTTATTAAACCACCTTTTAAGTGTTAATAAAAAAAATTCCTTGCGAAATTTTTGTATAAACTATTTCCCGCCTCTATCCTAAATTCACCCTTACCCTAATTTTAGACAATGCTTGATTTTTCGGTTTATAAAAATTGGTTTGATTTGAACGTTACACGGTTTTATAAATTAATACCCGTGTACCAAACAACACGCGTACATTTAGTAAACTATTTTACCTATTCGGACTTGTAATATGTAGTTTATTTAGAAAATAAAATCGATTATTATTATTACTTCCCATGTTTCAATTGAAAAATATTCATTTAATTTATTATATTAAGTTATATATATAGTATGCCAACTACAACAATTATATAACAGTTTGAAATTAACTTACTTTTCAAATTTGATTATGGAAATCGAAAACATATGTATCGATGACTTTCCTCTATTATTTGGTTCTTATGGAATATGTAGAAATGTTAATGAACAATTTATCAAAATTCTAAAACGGCTTGACTTATTTAATCAAGAAGCTATAGAATTGCAAAGGAAGCTAACCAGCATCATAAATAAAGTAAAAGGATGGTTGGAAAAAGACCTTTCCGCTGATGCTGTAGACTATTACACAAAGGGAATAAGTACCCTTTATCCTACAGAAACACCACCTAAAGACCAAGTATTCGATATCACTTATCAAGAAAGATATTCTATAGGCAAGCAGTTTGTTTCTGAAAGAAAGAATTGCAATGAAAAGATGCAGAAATGTTTAGAAATGTGTGACGACCCTGATCAATTATTGAAAGGTTCTATCATAGAAATTTGCAGTCTTGTAAAAATAGTTCGAAATCAACTTTTTAAGTTGAACTTTTTGGTTGAAAAAAACCTAAACGATTCGACTAATTTAAATCAAGATTTTAATCAAATACAAGTGCAGTTGGTTAGTCTTCTAAATAACATCGATAGTAAAATAGAAAAGTATCAAAATGATATTACTACGAGCAAAGAAAAGGTTGATTTATGTCAAGAACTGCTTGATGCAACAGAACTCCAATTTAACAGAGTAAGATTGGGAAGGACTCCTGCGTATAGTGATCAAATGCAAAACTGTACAGTATGTGGCAAGCAATATGTTTATTTAAAATGGTGTAAGTCTTGCGATCGTGATCAATTTAAAAATAATTTATCCGAATGGACAAGTGGAAATGCTGCTATTGACAAGTTCATTCGTCAGGTTCAACTTAATATCAATTATCCTAATTGTGTTGTTGAATGGATCCCTTACGAGCAATTTACTAATATTACTTATATCGGAGACGGTGGATTTGCTACTGTTTACCGTGCAACCTGGATCAATGGATTGGGTATTTGGGATTATGCTCTCGGAAAAAGAGTTCGACATCAAAACACTGAAGTAGCTTTAAAGTATCTTCACGGTCAGGAGGTTGATCCTAAATTTTTTGAAGAGGCAAGTAAAGGGAATATCTTACCAATCAAATTTTAGGACAGAATTTTAAACAGTAACTAATCTAAAATTAAAATTAATTAGATTGCGGCATACATGAAAGTTTTATCTAGCAGAGTACTTCATTGTTATGGTATTTCGAAAGATCCTAATAGCAAAAATTATATTATGGTCCTGCCTTATGCTCACGGAGGAGATTTATTGAATTACATTAAAAAAAGATGGAAGAGAATGAAATGGATAAATAGACTTCATATCCTCCGACATCTAACTTACGGAATTGTTGATATTCATAATAAAGATCTAGTACATCATGATCTTCACCCAGGAAATCTTTTTCATTATCAAAAGCTACTTGCAGTTGCTGACTTAGGATTATGCAGACCAGTTAATGAAAAATCATCCGAAAAATTATACGGAGTTATAAGATATGCTGCACCAGAGTATTTACGTGGTAATCCTTATACGCAAGCTGCAGATATTTACAGTATTGGAATGATTATGTGGTTGCTTGCTTTAGGAGAGCATCCATTTTCTGACATAAAATATAATAATAAATCTGATCAAGAATATGATATAAACCTTACATTAGACATATGTGAAGGTTTGAGACCCGAAATTCCAAATGAAATACCAACTATATATGCTGAATTGATGCAAAAATGTTGGAGTGAGGATCAAAATGCGCGACCTACGGCTGAAGAAGTATATTTAGAAGTCAAGAGATGGATTTTCGAAATTGAAAATCCTCCATCAAAAATTACACAACAATTTGATGACAATATTACATTATTGAACAAAAATATTAGTGAATATTCTTATAAAAACTACAGAAGTCAAGACCTGAGCAAAATTTCAGAAAATTTAAAATGCTATGACAGTTTCAGTTTGCTAACTTTGTCACCACATTCCAAGAGTAGCGAAAATTCAATGCTAAATGTTGAGAAGAAAGCTGAAAGTAAATTTAATATCACTTGTTTTTGTTATAATAGACTATGATATCAATTTATTTGCTGATATATTTATGAATAAATTTTAGCTTCACTAATTAGAAATAAAAAGTCTACATTTGAAAGTAATAAAGGTAAGAGGGCAAATTTTTTTTACAATTAACATAATAACATAAAGATATTAATTTAAAATATATTTCATTTAAAGTTTATAATTTCAAGTCTAAAAATGAAAATTACAATAGCGATAATAATCAAAAAAACAAACTTGATTTTAATGATAATGATGATATTGATGATATTGATGGTAAGAATATAACCTTATAAATTATTAGAATATTATATTTGGTTCTAACTTTTGCCAATTTTCTAGTAGACGATGTTTGGAATAGTGTTCAAGAACGTGATTTTCTGTCTTGGCTTAGTAAGCACATAATTTTTAATTCTTTGTTTTGAAGCATATAAGAGATTGAAAATTTTGTATATTTACTAAATTTCAATCATATACTAAACTTAAAATAATTCAATTTTAAAATTTTGCAATAGCAAAATTTGACGTCCTTGGAGATTACTCATCGTCAGATATTGGAATACTTTTCAAAGGAAAAAATTAACATAATCATTCTAAAATAAATAATGAATTTTATTTAATTTATTTGAAATTTTTATTACGAGCACGCCTCCAATATTATTAGTCATAATAAATACGCTATAATCTTAAATCAATTTTATTTAATCTCAAGTAATTTGAAACAGTTGTCAATTAATTTAGCTTACAACTTAAATTCAACAAACCATGTAACTTTCTAATTCGATTTAAAAAAATGTTAATCTTCTATAGTATAACTATTATAAAAAGAATATCCATTTTAACTAATAAATACATCTTATTTAATTACAAAGATTCTGAAAATTCTAAAATATGCTTTAACCCATATCCAAATTTGTAACCCGTATAAGCATTATATATCATTCTAACTCTAAAAATAATCCAATATACACTTATTAGAGTAATAATGATAGTTGAAAATTCATTCATCCAATATAGAGCAAAAAAATCTATAATCAATAGACCACTTTCAAAAACTTCTGATTTTTTCAATACATAATTATTAGCGCCATAAAATTTTCTTGTAAATAATGGTATAATCAATTCTATGCATATTCTTAAAAAATGTGTAATCATACTTTGCGTCCAAGTTCGTTGAGAAGCATACGCAAATATAATCATGTAATTACTGACTTCGTTTGGTAAGTACGTAATTTCAGCGAAATATTCTAATAATCTTGGATCATAGAAAACCAATTCGATAAGAAATTGTAGAATTGATAAAGAATTCATCAATAATGAACAATTTCTATAAATTTCATCACATAATTTATTTAATGTTGAAGGACGTTCATTCATTTGTTTATAATAAGAATCCATATTTGTCATATCTTTTTTGCCACCATTATATAAATAATTTCCAATCACAAAAGAAAAAGCTGAACTAACAAAAATTGACCATTCGAAAAAGTTTAAAGAGAGAAGAAACCAAGAAATCATAGATATTATAGCAAATATAAATCCCCAAAATGGAAATAGCTTTATATCGGTTCGCCTGATTCGTTGGGAAGCGTAAACTAAAATACCTATGAATCCTTTAAATGTCCAAAATAAAGGTGAAAATAGGAAAGGATCATAAAAACGAAGGCTGGACGCAAGAAACCAGGTAAAACTAAAATATAAGACAATTCTTGAAAGTTTTTTATCAGTAGAAAATTTAATTTCTATACAATAATTATTAACCAAAAAGAATAAAAAGTCAAAGAATGCTAAAAAAATTGATAATAATGACAATAACATAAAGATTGAAATTAGAATTATATGACGCTCAATGTTCAATATCCTATCACATAAAAGAAAGATGTCTCTGGTAATTGAGGTACCAAACAAATCAAATAATGTTGAAATGAAGAAGATTGGTAAAGAAATCAATGCAATTATTTCACAAAGTTTTCCAAAAAACGTGGTAATTCTAAAAAGTTTGACTCCAAAAAATCTATCAATAAAGAAACTCAGAAAAAAGCTACCAAGCGTAATTGTCACATGATAAAATTTTATTAATTCATCATTGAATTTAATATCATCAAAGCATTCGGTGGGCTCTATAAACTGCATGAATTAAAATTTTTTTTATAATAATGCTATAAACTAAAAAAAATGTTAAAAGTCGTAATTGAAACAAAGCCCTGTGGTGTAACTTAAGTACAGTGGGGGGCCGATAATCAATTTCCTAATAAAATATATATATAAAGCGTGGTACATCACGTGACTCTGCGATGATTGGGCAATCACGGGATACTGAGATACGTTTCTTTGAATAGGTCACTTTTATATATTTAATTTTTATTTTCCTAGTGCTACAGAAAAAGATTAGTACAGTTAAAGCTCGATATAGCGAGTATACAGTAAAGTAGTACAGTACGAAAATGTAAATTAGGACAGACGTGTGGAAATTATAATAGTACGATTCGTAAAATAGAAAATTCTTAAACCACCCTAACACGAAAAAGAACATACCGGTACTTACCCTAACTCTAACTATTAAACGGGAATTACTTGTATAAATCAAAGTCTTGTTAACCGTACTGTCATAATTTTCGTACGTCCGTTCAAAGTTATACAGCACTACTTATTAACTACCAAATCTTTATATAGCTAGCATTTTGATTTGGTGAAAATTTTTAGTGGTACGAATATACTGTATATTGAGCATTTAAATTAGCTTTCTGATCAAGGACACGGAATTTATGCGATAAAAAATATGCGATTTGTTGACGATTAAAAACAAAAAGTGCGATTTAACTAACAAAATACTGATTCATTTATCATTATGATTTTGTTAACATACTACTAAAAATTATATAAATTATTTTATACTATGTACTAAAATTATTTTCACTTTAACATACTACTAAAAATTTATTTTGCACTTTAATATACTACTATATTATCAGGTTTTATTATTAATCGGTTTTTTTTTTTTTTTTTTTTATTTATATAATGTTCGAATAGAAATTTTTTACATATAGAATCATAAGTTCTAAAATTAAAGATTTCTAAACTACATTTGTGTTACAAATTGGCACCCAATGTGATATTACACCCCTTATTTCCTGTGAATGCTATAGCTAATTATTTCAAATTAGGTTCTAGCTAGGATAGATTGAAGGAGACCTTTAAGTGATTGTCTGAACATTATTAAATACAAGAAGTTAGTGAAAAACCTTGTATGAGTTATTTGATGATAAAAGACTATGTTGAACTCTTAAAAAATTAACATTATTATTACTATATTATTTTTATATTGTTGTTTGTATAGTTATAAGACATGATACAATGCATTGTAAAAATATAATTTAATATTATTATAATATTATAATTATGTATACATTATATTTACAAAAATGTAATTTTTAGATTATTATAATATTGTAAAAACATATAAATCACATTAATAAAATATAATATATATATCTTTAAAACCTATTTTTAATACAAATTTATTATTAATATTATACAATTTACACATCTATTTTACTTATTTATTATACCAAAATATAGAATAAACCTAGCAATATTACTATACAGCATTGCTTTATAGTACCTCACGGAATAAAATCCTCTCAGCAGCAAATATGTTGATGAGTATGGCAATGAATATAGCAACAAATATGATAACGAATATGGCAATGAATATGATAACAAACATCATAACAAGTACAGTGACAAGTACAACAATGATTATAGTGACAGTATGGAGATACCAAATGTAATGAGGAGGCAAAAAAAGTACTAATGAATACATTCATGAAAGAACTAATGAAAGCACCAAAAAAGGTACCAGTGAAGACATTCGGAAATCTAATAATGACCATTGCGATAATACCAAAAATAGATCATTTAGGTATGTAGTTACAGAAAAAAAAATCAAAAGGTCTTCTTAAATAAGATCAAAAATATGCAAATTAACAATGCTTCATGTAACAAAGATACATTAGATTATAATTGGAGTATAAAAATATTAATTAATTGATGATTATACTTACATTTTAAAAGAATAAATTTTTGAAAAATAATTAAATTTCTAATAAAATGTAAAGTTTGATTATAACAATTATGACTCATCAATTGCTCCTCACATTTCTTAGCTGATACTTATAATTTAAATATTTAAATAATTAATACTTATCTGTTTCAGCTCTAATTTTTAAATAATAACAATATCATCTTGATATATTACATTGAAATTATTCACCTCAAGCATTTGAATGAGTACCTTATTTTTTCTACTCCTATTTTCGACATATTTATTTATATTTGCTGTGTCAATAGTATTCTATTAAATATATAAGTTGGGAGCATAGAATTAATACCTTTAAATTGACAGATAAAATATGAATTCTATATATATTTATATATATATATGAAGAGAATAAATTGTGGTTTGACCTATCAGATAAAGTTACATATATAGCATGGTCAAATGATCAAAATGTGATCATTGTCATTTAATCTTAAAAGTCTTCTATTACTGAATAACAAAAAATTTGTTTATTTCTATACCTTAAGTCAATCTATATGTTTTAAGCTTAGAGATTGTCAAGATTTATAAACTTATATATATTCCTTTCAAAAATCACTAAGTTTTCCTTTGGTTCAGCATTAAGTGCAATGATGTTAAATGGTCTACAAGTTATTCTATATTCATCATTGCTATGGGTTTACTTCAATCACTAGATTAATCAATTAATGGCCAAGTATGTTCAAACCATAAGTTTATTAGTAGTTGATAAATCGATTACCTGTGCATGTGACCATCGTGAACCACAGTTCATGATCAG